AATTAACCACTAGGAAGAATGTATGCAATGTGTTAATTATTGAAACTGTCCTACCAATTTGATTTGAAACTGTCTCATTGCTATTTGTTTCTCAAAAAAATTATGAAAAAAATAAAATAAATAAAATAAAATAAAATTGGCATGAAGAATGCAGTTTTAAATTTTTTGCTTAATAATTAGATGGAATCTGGCTGGGGAGATAGCTTTGAGGTCTAACACCTGCCTGGCAAACTCAAGGACCTGGGTTCAATCTCCAGTATCACATGCTGTGTTGGTCACTGAAACTGGGGTACATGCCTGTAATCCCAGCATGGGGGAGGCTGAAACAGGAGTATCACTAAGAGCCCAAGCTGCATAGTGGCAACCTGTACCAAATAAATAAATAAATAGTCAAACATAATAATATTAGGTGGAATCAAGATTCTAGATAGTATAATCAGAAAGAATGGATATCTTCTAAGGTAGATAATAAAATATTTTAAGATCTTTTTAGGGGACTCAGTATGGCAAAAAATTTTACATTTTTTTTTTTTCAGAACCGGGGATTGAACTCAGGCCTTTGCACTTGCCAGGGAAGCGCTTATTCTACTGAGCCATCTCCCCAGACCTTACAATTTGTTTTTTACAAAATATATACAACAGTACCTCAGTTCACAAACATTTCTGTTTACATACAATCTAGTTTGCAAACAAAAGCACTTGGCAAAATTTTCCTTCCATTTACAAACTCTGCATTGGGTGACAAATATGCATGGCTGTCTTCCCCACACAAACACAGCTATCTTTCCCCAAATCATAAAACAAATTAAGTTTGTAGGCCAGGATACCCTTGTTTGTGGTTCAGTATACATATTAAGAGTTAAAGTGTAATTACCAAAGGAAGAGAGAGAGAGAGAGAGAGAGAGAGAGAGAGAGAGAGAGAGAGACAGAGACAGACAGAGAGACAGACAGAGAGACAGAGAGAGACAGAGACAGAGAGAGACAGAGAGAGACAGAGAGAGACAGAGAGAGAGACAGAGAGACAGAGAGAGACAGAGAGAGAGAGAGAGAGAGAGAGAGAGAGAGAGAGAGAGAGAGAGAGAGAGAGAGAGAAGCAGAGAGACAGAGAATAGCCTCAAGTTTC